TACCTAGGCAACCCGTTTCAAGTAACAAAGTAGTCATATAGATCCATATCCGGGAATCCCACTTTGCAAGCACAAAGGGGCAACCATCCTCAAAAACCAAGGTCAGGGGATGACAGCACCTACTGTTTGTTTTCATTTGCAACCCCCCCCCCCATTGCAACAAATCATGGAAGTGGCAGGAGGGTTTACCACCAATTTGAAACTGCCCTGGTATGCCCTGGTCCATCCGCATTTGGGGTTCTTCTTTAAAGAATTCAGGATCCAACTCAACCCCAATTCCACCCCACACCCCAAGGCTCCCAGGTCAACATCACCAAAAGCGATGTGCGTGTCAGTTGCTTGGCCTGAGTTCTCGCCATCCAGCAGTGTGCGGAAGTAGTCCCGCGTGGCTTCCTGCGCGGATTTTGCGGCAAAGCCCCACGTCAGACGCCAACGGAGCCCCGGCCAAAAGCAACCTGGACATGAATGTTTGACTCACTTCCTGAGTGGACTGGCCAAAAAGAAGTCCTGGATGTTTTGCGTTACCACTATTTTTTTTGTTCGGGAAAAAAAGTGTTTCAAGTCCATGAAATCAGAAAGTGGGTTGAACCTACCTAGAACTCTGGATAGAAACAGGTCGCTGGTCGATTCGCTCAGCCATCTCGAAGGCCTGAATTTCCGAGTTTGGACTTCCTTTTGACGCGGGAGCCTGCCTATAGGCTGTGGCAGAAAACAACTTTGTGGGGTGGCCTGTTTTTCGGGGTGCCACAAAAGGCCACAAAATGGCGCCATGCACATGGGTACCCTCAAAAAGCACGCACCCACATTTGAGTCATGATCACAGGGAAAGAAGCTCAGAAAAGAACAGAAAAAAAGGAGAAAGAAACCAAAAACACTAGCCCCTCATGGTGAGCCAAAACATCAACACATAGGCACAAACATTCCAAATCACAATAAGGTTCTGTAGCTTCAAGCATTGAGGGAGCTTCCCCAGCACATCTGCGTGTCTGCTTGCGGTTCTGAAGCTTATAAAGTGCCGTGTCTTCTCCTTCAAATTCAATTGTGCAGTTCATGAAGAGAGAGGCCACTCATCTCACTGAGACGGCTGTTCGGTTTCGGGTGTGCATCCAGCCAACAAGGAACGGCCCGTGGCCCAATATGAAGAATGTCCACATCACTTGGCTGTCCTCAGCTCCCCTGCTAAAAGTTTGACTTTTGTGGGTTAAACGGACACCCCCACTAAACACTAAAAGGCTAATAAGCTGAGGGGATGGCTGGGAGCCACCAAGATCACTGGTAAACGGGTCGCCCTCCTTCTCCCGCTCAAAGTCGCCCGTCTCCACCGACAAGCGGGAGGTGTTCTGCCGGGGGCCGTCTGTCGCAGGGCTCGGCTCGCAGCGCAGGAACTGTAGTGGCCATGCAGAAAGACAACATCCCCCTTTTCTTGCTTGATGTTAAAAGGAAAACCGCTCAACCCTGGGGAGCAGTGCATCACTCGGCAACTGGATGCCCCTCACGGGTGCACTTTCAACAGCTTTTGGTCGAAACAACTGAGGCCCCTCAAAGAGAGTGTCTGCATGTTGTGGGAGGCGTATTGATAGTAGGCCGTGGCGCTTTTGCACGATTCGCTCTATTCTGCTTTTTTCCGGTCCACTTGCAGGGTGTGAGGCGGTGGGGCAGGGGTTGGGGCGTGGGGGGTGCATGAAAGCGACGGCGTCCACGAGCACCGTTGCTGCTGCTGTTCTGCCTTCTGCTGTTCTGCCTTCTGCTGTGTTTGCCTTTCTTCTGCTTTTGCTCAGGCTTGCTGGCTGCGCCCCGCACTCGTGCTCACTGCTCTGAGTCGCGTCGTTTGCTGATACGGTTTACTTGGACTCCCATATTGACGTGCTAAGATGGACTGACACGGACTCCTTGACTGCTCTTCTTCGCTCGACATTTTCCTTGTGTCGGGGTCCGCTCGATTTCGATCTGCCGGCCAAAAAAATCGCCCGGTCTCCACAACGCTGGGCTCTTTACATTTCTTCTCGAAGTCAATTGAGGCAAGACTGCGAGTTCATACGGATGGCGCGCGTCGCGCGAAAGCTGACAACTATTTTTTGCGCTTTGAAGCCCTTCTTCAACGCAGTGATCTGCTGCAACAAGCAGTGCATTTGCGTGCTCGGAGGCACGAAACCACTGTCTTTTTTGGCCTTTCAAGTTGTAAGTCTCCTGGAAACACATATTTTTCCAGAAGTGATGGATTCCCTTCAAAAATCCAGCAGGGGAAACTAACAAATATTCGTTTCAGCAGATGGAAGAAGATGCTGCCTGGGCCTGGACTGTACTTCACAAGTCTAAGCGGCCGCCGACGTGCAGCCGCCAAACATGAGCCCATGTCGTGGTGGAGTCCCGTCCTTAAGGGTCTAAGCAGAAATCCGGTTTTCCGGAACCATGTTCCTGTGCAAAGACTCAGTTAAACTGGGATGTACCCTTTAATGTTGACCCCGTATGAATCAATCAGCCACTTGAATAATTGGGGGGGGGGGTTGGCTGCTCCAAAAGTGGCCTGATTCCAACCACTAAACCCAGAAATGGACACCCCCTATTAATAAACTGGGATTGATTAATATGGGATCGACATTACAATATTCAAGTCAAACGAGATGCGTCATATTTAGGGACAGGTTTTGCAGAAAGGACTCCCCTGACAGGAACGCTTCTGGGAGAGGACGCAAATCCGCCTGCCGCGGTCGCTCAAGAACGCATCACCTCACGCGCAAGCCAAACTTCCGGCCTGAATCCGCCGTCACTCCCCGGCGAAAGGAACCGGTCGGCAGTTCCATCATGGCTCCATTGCTTCGGCGAAACGGTTCAATCTGAAAATGGAAACTTCTGGAGGCAACACAAGTCACAATCAAGACCTGGCCCGCTCCGCAATGTATTGCCATTGCTGTTCTAGGTCCTCCAGTAGAGAGGTTAGAATAAGGGTACCCTTGTTTTTCTGTAGTCTATTTTAGTAGGGGAACCCTCCACAAAAACGGGTAAAAGGGCACTAGTAGGGGACCTAGTGTTAAGTTCTATACCACTTGCACTTGAACAGTTCCTCACTTACTGGCCGTGACTGGATTCAATGAAATTAAGCAGCCTTTATCTTGGGTATCTTGGGTCGCCTTGCGCAACCACTTACAACTGCCCTGAGGCCCACAACCTATACCAACCCTAGATCGAGAAAAACTGATCATCTCAGAAATTATCCTGAAACACTCTCATCTCAGATGCCCGGTGGATTTCCACGGGAAAAAGGCCTTTTTGTTGGGGGTTGGTTGACTTTAAAGGAACTCTCTTCCCAAGAAAAGGAGGAACAAAGGAAGCGACCCACTGGGCAACCGGGGGCCTCGGCCAACCCCGCACTGCCCTCCCTTGAGCCTTTCCAGCCCCGGGCCATGGCGAGCCAAACACATGAGACCGGTGCAAAGAAACGACGGACGAAATCCATTTCGCACAAGGCCTGGAAGGATGATTCCCACAAATGCCAACAAGCAATTGGGACGCCCCATGGTTTCAAAGTGGTGCGAAGTGGATTTCGTCCATCCGCATCACATGCGCAAAGATGACAAGTTTCACTGTAGATCGATTGAGAGAGAGGACACACTTCTCATCAGATGAGAAGGGAAGTGCAATGCAAAGCACTCTGGTCAGCCTTGATATGGCTGACAATGCAAACTGTACAAGAAAGAAAGGTGTCGGTAGTGACAACTAAATGGGAAACGTTACCCATGGTCATTGGGGGGCCCTAAATGGAATATTGATCAAGCCCCACATGTTACCACGCAAGGTCCTTAAGCCGAGCAATCGTGAGGTTCCCCATGAACACGTATTGAAGCAACTTTTGGCTAGAGCTTTCCTTGAGTTCTCAAAACGGAGGCAGGCGTTCAAAAGGGCCCTCGACATCTTTTGGCTGCGCGGCAAAGGCTTTACGCGCAACGTTTCGCACGCGGCAAGCCGATTTCCGGCCTTCATTGGCCGGTGCGTGTTTTGGGCGAGGCTTTCGCCATGTACCCCTCAATAGCTTTAAGACCCTCATGTCGGTCCTTAAAAATGGTCTGCGGAGACTTTGGTGGCGCTTGCGGACATCACTGGGTTTCGGTGAGATCGAAATGGATCCCATCAAGCGGGCGGCAATTGTGATTATCTTGATGGTTGCCAAAACGATTTTTCGGCAACAGGTCCTGTAATCAGGACAAAAGGGAGCCTTGCCAGGCCGATGAGGTTTTCTGTTCCCATTTAAGCACCATGCGAACAATTCATATATAATGTTTTGGGGAAACACCACCCCCACGGTGAAACAAGGCCCCGATGCCAAATATTGGCATATGACCTCGATTTCATGGCCGTGTTTGCCTCAACAATGGCTGGGTCCCATTTCGGGGCGTTCCTTTGCGGTACATCTTGCTGTTGCATTCTAGTTGATGGCCGCCCCCTGGCACATGCGTATTTTCTTCGAAATAGGGGGGCCTGAATGCAAGGACATTGTTCTAGGCAACACACCAATGACGTGCGGTGTTGCTTGATTGTTACCTTTTTGATTGCTTGTTCATAGGCCTCACCCCAAGGAAGGAGTATGCTTGATTACCCAATCATTTTAAGTGAACGAACCACGTCCAAACATGAAGCCCTCGTAACTCGCAGTAAATTGAAGGGTGCCCAACTGCTTCTCTACCTGCAGTACAGGGTTGGCACGAGACGTCTACCCTGTCCAACGGACAGGGAGGTCCGAAAGGAAACTAGTCTTCCAACACCTTGCGACCGCCTTCCACGTTGCAGTTCTGGGGGATGGCTTCCCTTTGAACCATACAAAGAAGGCAACTTCGCGGCCAATGGACCCAGTAGACCAGTCTTTTGTTAAACCGCCAACCAGTATGAACCCACGAAAGGGTGAGTTTCCTGTTAAGCTTCCTTTGAAACCACCCCAAAACATACCCTCCAGCATGGCGCATAACAACTGGGCCCCTAGAGGAAGCTGATCTTTCCCTGGTGTTTTTGCAGTGTCTTCCCGTGAAAGAGAGAGACCACCTCCCCTCGCTGGCCAAGGTCTCCGGCTCACTCCGCGCGGCTCCGCACGGGATTCCCCTGGAGCACTCCGGTGGCGAAGCCCTCGCTGGGGATGAAGGCGCGGCCTGCGCAAAACGACGAGGACCGGTCGCCCGGTTTTTCGTTTCTCCTTTTCTGGGCGAACGTCCGTTGTCAGATCCGCGGCTACAAGTCTTTACCCTTGTGTGGCTTTAGTGACTTTAGTGGAAACCACGAAATCCGACAAAGCTAAAAAACCGAACGGGATGGCACTGGAAACCACCAAGATTTCCCTCTCGCCCTTTGGAACCAACCCAAGGCTAGCCTCGAAAACACACACCCTTCGAGGTTCTCAAAAGGTGGACCGTCCCCTTTTTTTGGCGATCTAAAGGACAACCAAAAGGGCACGAAACCAGTCTAAATGGGACTCCGATCTTCTGAAATCCAAGTCCACGCTTTCCGTGTACCCAACTGATATGGGCGTGTCAATGTTTTTTAGGTGACCCTCCAAAATGGCGGTTTTCAACTCCTGGTTTCCCATTTGAAACCAACCAACAAGGGGTTCTCCAAAAAAAGACATGTCCAAAGAAGCTTTTGAAGTTCAGAAACTGGGGACATCACTTTATAGGGGGCCTTACCCAGATTATGGCTTCTCCTTTCGGTTTTGCAGAATTCTGGCTTGTCTTCTGTAAGTGAGATGGCGTGGAATCCAATTGGCCCTAAAACCCAATTTTGGACATTGAAGCCGGGACTGGTAAGAACGCAGGCGGCACATTCCTGTGGCTGATTGCCAAGTCTTGGCACAAAAACTAAAATAAAATAAACTCCGCCTTACCCATCTCTGAGAAATGGTTGGTTTCCTTTTGGTTTCCACCACAGCTGATATTTGGAGCTTGATCGATCCCTATGTAGTAAACCTTGGTTTGCAAACTGTTGTCATTTGAAAGCGAAACTTGCCCGCCCCTACACCGTCAACCCCCACGCAAAAAGTTGACACTTTGCTGGTAAGTAGACTTTCCACAGAACAAATGAAGCAAACCCAAATGGCCATGGGTCAAAAAAAGCCCGTACCCGCGGTGAGCATCCCAATCCCCACTAAAATAGGTTCGAAATGGGTGGTGCACCTACCTCAAAATGGGATCCCATTCGTTTTGACCCACAGCCAAATGGCCAAAGCTGGACCAAAGGTTCCGAGGAAATTCGGACTCCCCCGTGCCGATCCGGGCCGAGTCAATCGCTCGCTTGGGCGCCCGGGCGGATCACCAAACTCTGCCGGACCAGCATAAGGCAGAAGATGATCAGGATGGCCTGCCGCTGCGAAACCGAACCAAGCTCGGATCTCACATGCTCCCTTTTTGGTTGGGAGGACCGGGACCCAAAGACCCCTGAAAACGGCAAAAAAAACACGGGTGCCAATGGGATATACAACCACGATAGGGTCAGGATACAAAGGGTACTAAGGGTATATGTCCCGTGTGTTTTCTGGGGAACCTGATTCGAATCTCACATGCTCTGTTTTGGGGACCCCGAAAACACACAAACATACACAAACACACCCTTTGTGTTTGGGGGAGGAACATTTCACTTATAAATATCCACGTTCAAAATATATGTATATATATATATATAATTTTAGACCTCCTAAATTAACCCTTGGATGTACTCCAAATGCGAAGATCGTGTGATTTCGACCAAACAGGTAGACGAGCAGAATGCCTCCATGCTATGTGGCTTCTCAGCCTAAACTTGAACATAGTCCAATCATAGCAAAGAGCAACTTCCCAATATTTTGCATGTTAGCAAGCAACTTTGCTCTTTGCAGCCCCCAACTAAACTTGCACAGGTTTCAAAAGACCAACCAACACGCAACAAGAACAATGCATAGATGGGGCAAACTGATCAATGCGCTGGGGACAGCTGAGAGAAGGAGGACTTCAACACAGGGCAATGTTGACCCAGGACTCTAAGGGGACTATAAGGGGAGGTCCCCTTTCAGAAGGACACCTGAGTCACAATCAATACCCGGTATTAAAATGGTCGTAATCCCAGAACTGCCCTTACTGACCTTCATCTACCCGGGTTTTGATTGTGGCTCACCTGCCAGTTTTTTGTAAAACCGCCAGATTGAGAAGTCAGGATCAACGTAGCCTGCGTTCAATCCGACGGCTGAGGGCTGGGCTGTGGTCACTGTGGCACCCATCTTGTCGAAGAAGAGCCACACAACCTTGGAGAGTACTAACCTCACCACGGAACCCGTTGAGGTCTTCCAGGTGTCACTGGGCTGTCCGTTTTCAGATCTGCCAACAGTGAAAAACTTTTAGGGGATTCAATGGAAGCCACCAAACCCCAAACACCCAAGCTGCTGAGCGGGCGGCTAAAAACCCGCCAAGTAACGAGATCACTAGTGAATCCTTGCGCTGGGATGGCACCAGCTCGGAGCTGGCATCTTGAGGCAAGCATGCCATGAAGTAAGACATCATTGTTCTGTGGCCGAAGCCATTCTGGGTCAAAGACGTCAGAATTGTGTCACTGTGTCTGCTCCGGAAAGACGTTTGGTGATGGAATTCCAGCGGCGCTGTTTTTTTTTCTCCTGAATGCGCCCGCCGGATTTCCCGGTCGTGCGCTAGCACAGTCACAGCGGAGGAAAAGCCCAGTGCCGCATGCTTCAGCCGCTGTTGGGAAGCTATTCACAAGATTTCAGACGTTCCCTGAATATCAGGATTTTCCAAAGAGGAATTCTCTACACCGTGACATTGGGGTGCCAGGGGTGAAGATTGCGGACCCTTTTGACTTTCATGGAAGGGAAGCAACTGAAGCTCTTTGCCTACAATTAACATGACATCTTCCTCAATGTGATCTTTTCCGGACACCTGGAAAGCGAAACAAGCGAGCCCACGTGCCCTGCATAAAACGCCTTGAATCCTGTCTCCCAAGCGCAAAACCAATTTGACGCCCGAAACCCTGGCTGCTTGGCCCACAGCTGAGCCCTTTTGGAAACAGTCAAAACCTGGGAGGCACCCTCTTTCCAATCGTGAAAGTGGGCACGAAAGCTTCGGATGGCGAATCTCCAATCCAAGCTCCAGCCTAACCTTCAACCTACCATTCTGTTGAAAAAGCCTCTTGTCCACTTCCATGTCCAGCGGCAAAGTCTTTCAAAAGGAAAAATGGAGGCCACGACATCCCCAGTTTGAAACGTGCCAAGCTGAAAGCGAGCCCCTTCGGGACGTTTCAGACATGGGGCGCAACCTTGGCGAGGCCGCTGTCGACATTCCAGCGGATTCCAGCGACATTTCAGCTGGGCATCCGGGCCAAAATGGTGGAGATGAAGTAGCAGAAGAGGCCCATCACAAAGAAGCGCATCGCCTCCTGGCGAAACAACAGCACGTGTGTGTGTGTGTGGGTGTGTGTGTGTGTGTTTGCTTGAGGGTCCTCCGGGAGTAGTTGGAAGGGCAACGGAACGAAGCCCCGTCAGATCTGGGGGTTCCCGACGCTAACACCCCACATCAAAGCAGTCTTCGACACCTTGCCACAGTTTGGACTTGTTGCTGGCTCATGGGGAAGCTGAAGTTAAAGGCTTAAAGTGAAAGGGCGTCCCCTTGTGCATGGTGGCGAAATCCATAAACCGCACCACTTGGAAAGCATGGGAAGCCACAACGTTTATTGGTAGTTACTGGGGAATCATCAGAAATCACGGCTTTTTAGGTGGTGCAGGATTTCGTCCATCCACAGTATGGCGGCTTGGATTGGGAGTTAGGCATTTCATTTGTCACTCCTTTGTCTTCATCAACGGTTGCAGGGGTGCCAATCAAGGGTCGACAGCTTCTGACGCAACAGAAGCATGTCCAGGGTGTGCCCTCTCCGGGAAACCCGGCATTTGTTCAACCCGCGTTGCCTGATGTTTTCGGCTTGGACTCAAAGAAACAAAAAAAAGATGGGGTCAAACAAACAGGTCGGCTGGAAGAACTAAGGGCATCCCCGCCTTGAGCCCCCCATCTTCCCATGGTTGCCAGAGCCCCCCCCCCGAGAGGGGACCCCCCGACAAGGCCTTCTTAGTCACCCCTAATAAGGGGATTTTTGTTCACCCCTAACAAGGCCTTCTTAGTCGCCTCGATTGATTGGGGAATCGGCCCCTGCTGGGGAGCCCTTGACAACCCTAGGACATCTTGGGACATAGGGACCCTCCACCCAAACAACAGAAGCCGAGAAAGAGTGTAGGAAAAACAAACAAGAGAAACGAAACAAGAAGAAATTATATCTACCGAATAGTTTCCCTTTGAGCCCTCGCCCCCCATGGGTCTTTCAGCCGAACGCTCGCCTTCTGCGCCTGCTCCAGCACCTCAATGGCCTGGTGCAGGTGCGCCTGGTCTGCACCCCGCAGCGCCTCAAAAAGCGAAAACCGAAACGCGAAAAAAGCGAAAACGAGATCCCAAAGATTCAGTGAACCGGGCACTTCTTTATATATATATATACAAACAATCCCTCAGACTAGCAGCTGGAAGCTCCCAGAAGGCCTCCGAAAATAGAACCAAGTCTTTTAAAGGGCCCTGGGAGCTTCCATGTAAGTATATAATATACAATAATCAAGGGAGATCACAGAGGTACATAATATATATATATATATCTATGTATATATTGATATATACATATAATATTATTTGAAAGGAGATTCGCGTTGTTTGGCGTAACTAGTTACAATGGCACGGTTTCGCACCAGGGGCTCAATGTGTACCTCTCAAAGCATGACGCTCCAATCGACACGGGCTCCTCAGAAATGAAGCGAGAGCAAAACTGGGGGACTCTTCTTCCTAACTCGGAAGGGTGTGAGCAACTCTGCCAACAGTTCGGACACGAATCATTACCCAATTCGTGAGGCAATGAACAGTGGGAATGAACCCAGGCAGGGGTGCCCCTTAAAGGAAACCACCAGTTGGATGGCTAATAGGGGTCATTCCCTCATTCCCTGCCTATCGCACCAGCAAGAATTGCTGTCGTCACGTTCAACTGGCAGAAATGGCTTACCAAATTAATTAGAAGCTCAAAACGCCCCCAAGCAGCTGATCAAGCACAAGGTCCGCAGGTTGTTTTTTTCCCGTTCCCAGTTGAGACACGAAAACAGTCCCCCCCCAAACAAACCAAACAAAACGCGTTTGAAAGGCCGCCCTTCCGAAAGGGTGGGTTCTAGTTGACTGTCTGCCAGCTGCGAGAAGCGAGCCAGGCCAACCAAATTTCGAGTGGGTCTCATGTCGCCCGTGCCATTTCTAGGTTCAACTCACTTTGAGAGGGATTCGTGAAGCCTTCATTAATTGACAGCCCCCGGACAATGCGGGCAAACCCGTGCTTCCAAACCCAAACTTCCCAACCCTGGCACATTGGCAACAAGCTCCAAGTTCTTCTTTGCAGCCCCCACCGACAAAAAGCGCAACAACACCAAAACAAATCCAACATAAACACACATGAACCAAGAAATATATGCGTCTGTCTCAAAACAGTTCCCAAAACTGGACCTCGGTCTCTAAAATGGGTCGGATCTCGTTAAGCCCAGCTGAAAAGGGGCACCCTCAAAAAAAAAGCACCCCGCCCTGTGCACCAGGTATACCAAAACCGCGCGCGTCCGGAAGCATCACGGCCTTGCCGGGGCCCCAGAGGTTGCACAGCGTGGCGATGAGAATCACCTGGCGATAGGTTAAAGAGGTAGGTCTAACGCATGGCGCGGAGACTGGGTCCACTTACTCTAGGTCCTCCAGATTTGAGAGGTTTGAATAAGTTGGTACCGTTTCTTTTACTTGAGTAGGGGAACCTCCCCCAAAAAAGGGTAAAGGGGCACTACTCGGTTGATCCAAAGGTCCTTTACATAGGATGACCACTGGGCGGAACCACTACACAAATGACATCTCCCACTAAATGGGAAAAGTTACCCATGGTCATCTGGGGGCCAGCAATTTTCATCAACACCCGTCTGTTTTATTCTGTTTGGGCGAGGGGGGGGGTGGTGGGTTGGGCTCTTTATCAGCCCGAATTCAACAGGGTGTTCAACGTGTTCGCTGTCCCTGGCTGGCTCCTTAGCCCCCCCGATATCGATTGCTAGTCCAGTATACCAAGACGCCTCAAGATTACCTGGGACCCCGCCAGCCAAATCCAACCAACTAGTTTTGAGAACCCCTCACAGCGTTCATCTTCTTTCGCAAGGGACGGCACAACTGGTGTGAAATACGCTCTGCGAGCATCGCTCGTTTTGATTGGGAAGTCAACACGGGCGAGTCATGTGCCGTTGCGGCGAAGCGCATGAAGCGCAGATGTTGCCCCTTGCAGTCGACACCTTTGGTCCCATTTGTCCTTTGCAGCGGTTTCAGTCGGGAACCCCCTAAAGAAGTTGTTGATGTGTCTCACATGGGAATGTAAATCAAACTAGAGCAATTCATATCCCTGAAAGTTGCGTGGTTGCTTGAAAATGGCTGCCCACCATGCATCAATGACACTGCAAGGTCAACATGAGGGGCCTCATATCCCAGATATCAAAGGTCTGCCAAAACCAGTGGCAGTTCGTGACTTCTCCACAGGACCATGGCTCCCCCATCAGTTGCTCATTCCGATGTAGGGGTGACTTCCTGATTCTGCCCAGGGATTCTGCTTGTTAGACAACTACTACACATCTAGGGAAAGCAGCAGGTACTTAAAACAAGCGATGGTTGACAAGAACGGGCAAGGGGGACCAACCCCTAGAATGACTGACTGCTGTCTGAAAACACGGGCACCGCCAGAATGGTGGTTTTCAATTTGTCTTCTCCCTGGAATCAAGTCCGAAAACTGGGTACCCCTGTAATCGACCAAAAAAGACAACAGTGCCAGCGGCACCAGAAGGTTCATGCCGAAGGCACTGCTGGTGAAGATCAAGTATGCTGTGACCAGCACCGAGTCTTCCCAGCTTGGTACCTCAGACATGAGCCACGGCCAATCTTTGTTCACAAACCGACATGGTTTTTTTGGTGAAGCCCAATTTCGCGAAATGGTAACTTGGCATGTGTGCCCATTGTCAGCAAACTTGCTATAGGCATGATGGTAAATACTAATCGTTGTTCACATGGTGCCACAACAGATCGTTTGAAGGCCACATCATTCACACCCCCAGCCACGAAAACATGGAAAGGCCCCATGCGTTATTATTATTGCTCCTACAAAAATAACATATATGGGGGAGGACAAACATTATTCAAAATCACGTCTCCGTAAAACAGATCCCCAAAACAAATATTCGCCCGGAGGCGGAACAATGCGTACATCAGTTGCATTCCGGTACCACGTGTTAGGTTTCGTCCAAATGGTGTCGGCACTTGCCAGGCGAAGCCGCTCAAACCTTCAACCTTCAGGCTCCGAGTCAGGGAATCTAAATATTTGGGATTGAATTCGATTTGAGACCTCAAATTGGCTGACTCGCTTACTGGCTTGCCATTCGTTTGGTACTTCTTGGTTCAAAAGTGTCCCCTGCGACGGAGTTGCGTCGGCAATTGGTTTAGTACTGGCTACTTCTAATTTACGTAGTAGTAAACAATGATTGGGGGTCTAGACAAGTGACATCTATTCAAAGGTTGCACACATAAATAGGACGAAGCGATTGACCTAATGCTAGACGCATCTATCAAACTCCTAGTGGCTCACATTGCATCTCGAGCATTGCATCCAGTGCAGGGTTGGGCCGGTCTTTTTAAGAATGTCGACCCTTGTTCAGCAGCAGGGCCTGACATGGAGACTGCGTGTTTGAAACACTTTTGCATACTCAAATAGCGGTGGGTGTACCAAATGCAAGAGTGCAAAACAACACCCTCTCTCAACATCTAGGGTGAACATACACGGCACAATTCCCGCTAAACATGGGCATAGAGATGACTATGCCATGCAGGGATTCTGCAATCAACTTTCCTCCCGTAGCCTTGGTCCTTGCAAAGGCTCCCCTGGTTTCGAGAGTTACCAGGTATTGCCCAGGAGCTGAGCCACTCAATGAGTAACAACTACAAAAACAGCGAAGTAAAAAACAAAAAGTGAACGGCACCACACCCCAAAAGTCGTGTTTAAAGGGACACCGACCCCCAAAAAAGCAAACAAACAAAAAACGTGTTTTTTGAAGTCCCGCAACACCGCAACGAGACGTGCCCCCCCAGCCACTCCCCCCCCCGGGCCGCGCCCGCGCGTTTCGCGTCCGCGCGTTTCGCGTGTTTCGTCTCGTTGAGCGGTTTGGGGTCACGCTCATCGTGAGCCCCGAGGCGGCGAAGCCCGCCAAGATGGAGGAGATGGAGGACCTGACGAGCGGGTGGATCGCTTTCTTGCAAACACACGGTGGTTCCTTTCTTTCAAGGACACGTTCAAGGACACTGTCCTTTATTCGCCAAAAAGAGAAACCCAATAGGGAAAACCAAGAAAAAGGACACCTACAGTTCCAGCCTTCCAGTGTTTAGATTGTTTTCTTTGAGGAACAACAACAGCTTCTGTATGTCAAAACGGAAAAAACCGTCTGAGGGCATGGCTTCTCTTGCAAAAACCAAAAAGAGAAAAACCGCCCCCACCAATCTGGGCTGTCCGTTGTCAGATCCCCCGGCAAAAAGTGACTAACTTGTAGTGGGTTAAATGGAAATCCAGCCACCCCTCTGCACTAAACAAATAGCTAAGGCGATGGTTGAGAACCAGCCAGTTTTTAAGATGCATGTCAGACCTTGAAGCATATCTTTGCGATCCTATCGCCCTGGGATGGGTGCCAACAGAGTTTGACCCTGGCATTCAACTCGCTTCGAACTGGAACGCGCACGAGCACGTTTGTGGAAAAGGCGCCCCAGTCAACTTGGCCAAAAGGGTCCATTTCCCCTCGCATTCCTGCCAATATCCAGGAGCCCTGCACCCCAAAGACCCCATCCGACAGTCTCTACAGTAGAGGGTTTTTGCAGCCTCACCATCCAAAGTCTGTGCCATGGGCGTTAGTCGGCTTCCCACGAAGAAGACATGCTCAGTCCCGAGCAATCTGTTGAAGACTGTCAGGTAGTACGTGAGCTCCTCAAGATACTTCCATTGCCAAGCCGCGACTTCGAGTTGCCAACGCAAAGCAGAAACCTTAAGAAACCTACAGGCACGACTCACACTTCCCTTCTGCAACCACCGCACCAAATACTCATGCGAAATCCCGCCTATAACCATGTCAATCAAACTTCAGAGCCCTTGGTATGGGAACAAACATCATAGTTGTTTGCAGTACTAAAAAAGAACAGAACCAAAGAAAAACACACACACACACCAACAAACTTGGCGTGAAGTAAACGGTGGACTTGCAAACTCATGCACCGACAAACACCTCCGAGCTATTCCTCCCAGGCGAGACAAATCATGAGATAAGGTGATCGCCTACCCTCACTGTGGGTAAACAAAAAACACACATCCACTCTATCTGACTGGATGCCTGAAAACTGAGGTGCTGGCCATGTTTCGTATCTCCAAGGAGGTCTTGTGAAACCTCGAGATGACATTGCCCTTGTTGGCCTGCATCGAATCGCAGGAGAACTGGTCCGAAACGGTCGGCGAGTCATAGAGTCATACCCATATCCTTCTTCACACAGCTGGGAAAGACTATAGTGACTACACGCAGACACAATGGCTGATTGTGTTGTGCTCGAGGGTCTGGAATATGTGCGATGTGTCCAGGAGGCTTACACAAATGATCGCTGCTCTAATGAGATGGTGCTTCTGGGTTGGCTGGGGCACGAAAGCCATTGCTCATTCCAGAGTGGTTCACTGATGACATGGACACTCTGAAAGCCAGCAAGATACGTGGGATTCGCACACAAGAGGGTCTCTGATTTAGGGACACACCACCAGCATCGGATCCTTGCTGCCCTGCATTCATTTGTGTCACAGGTACTTGAACGGTTGCTCTCTCGCAGAGAAGTACGCTGGATACGCATGCTCCTGACCCGTGGGCCATGGTTATCTTGACAGAAACCCGGTTGACCACTGACCCTAGTTGTTTGAATGAAAGAAAAACATGTTTTGGCGTTGACTGTTTGAACTCGGTATTGTCATTGTTGACTCATCAAGCAGCGGCCAAGGACATGTTTAGTAGCGTTCTGTATCAAATATGCATGAATATGCCCTGACTGATGGGAATGTTGGATCTAGTCGATCCTGGTTGATACAAACAGGTGGGCGAGTCCTTTTGGGTGCACATCTCCCGAATGACATGCCAGGTAGACTCATGTTCAAGGTTCCCGCCCTCTCAGAAACTTACAGAGACCCCTGCTCGAGTAGAAACCTAGGTCCTCCAGTGGAGAGGATCGAATACCAATTTTTCTGTCGTCTAGTTTAGTGGGGGAACCCTCCCAACCCAAAAAAGGGGGTTAAAAACGGCACCAATTGCTGGGGGACCTAGAAGCCCTCCGAATGTGTGGGGGGGGGGGGGGGAAGGCCCAGGGCTTGACTTCCTCGCCTGGAGCATGCCGCACCTCAAGTCCATGTCTCACGGAAGTGTGGGGCAAGCTGTTTGATCAAGTCAAGGACATGAGTGAGCCACCCTTCGCGAGAAGACTCAAGCTGAAGCAAAAGCAACGCGCAGACGCGCACCCCCTTTCACAGTCGCCTTCCCCGCAATGCATGATCTTGGAGTGATTGCCGCGACCAAAGGAAGCCGTCCAAGACAACTTAAGGGCTCAACCACCAGGAAACCCCAGAAGTTGTGGCATCCAGTGGAACTGGACCCACCCAAAATGCTCGAAACGCCAAGCATCGACCCGCATGAAACGAAGCGCCAGTTTCTTTTGCTATGTGGTCAACAACACAACAAGGCGCAAATCACCATTCCGAAACTCAAAAACAGATCAGGCAAAATGTTCGAAAACGAGGATGAACACATCTTCCCGCATGGAGCGCGCCGGCTGCAGACTCATTCAAAGCGATCATTGCACAGCTATCTTCCGCCATGGAATGCAACGAGAGAAGCTTGGTGCAAAACAATACAAAGCTGGTACATACATGTCCCGCCACCGAGCACCAACACAGGGTATCCTAAACGACGCCAACAACAACCTGTCTAAATGAACTGCTACCTTACTCAAAGGCTTCTGCCGGGAGTACAGCATCCCTTAAACTCGCATAGAGCACAACAGGCACCGCCACTGCGCAAAGGACAACAGTGACAACAAAACGACATTGTGGGGTCCTTCTGACATGCCAATGGCTGCACATCACGAGTTGGGTCGCATCAGCCCCCAGCTAAGATGCATGGTGCAGCTCCTCAAATCGGATGGCGCATAACGCCCAAACAACCCGGAATGGGTAAGATTTCCGCAGGAGGGGGGATCAAATCCCAAAGCAAGAGGGTTTCACCTTCTAAGTCAAGCTGAAGAGACGTGGTCGAGCGCTGTTTCACAGAGCTGCACGCAAACTCTGAAGGCAAACTGCCAACATCGACATCCCGCAATTTCCGAGCCAACCAATGCACCAGGTAGGGCAAAACCCTGTACTGCGATACGGAGTGGCTGAGGCAGTCGCACAGCCGGCAGTCACACTGCCAAGGGCTCATGAGCTTCGAATTATGCGACGAAGGGATACGCTGAGCCCAGTGTGGGCCATCGTTTGACCGAGCCGCAACGGTGACCTCTCATTTCACAGGGGGTGCAGCTGCGAACTCTCGCTTTGATTTCCCCAAATCCACAAGGACATGGCGTAATAGTTTGTTCTTTCCAGACCCCTTCAGGGATCTACCAGAAACAATCGAGGCAGGCTCTCCCAACATATGTCCTGACTGCTTGATCAAGGAAGCCAACTGGGGAAGAGAGTCACCAAAGCTGCCCCGTGGTCGTTGCCTCAACTTCCTGACTGAATCGACCAATCACAAGTAATCTTGTTGTTTCCGATAAAGTGACCTTTTCAAGATTTCCAAGAAGTATCTGGACATGTTGCTACAGTTCACAAAGCTGAACTAGGAAATGCCCAAGTAAGGGGACCTTCGTTCTAACTTGCCCAGAAGTACTACGTCCAACGAAAAAGTGACTTGCGCGGTTGATGTCACAGCGCCTCACACTGCTTGAGCCATGAGCGCAGGTCCTGGAGATTGACGCGTTCGAGTCACCAGGGACATGGCCGGATATGGATCCTCCCCTCAGATTTGTTCCCTTTGGCCTCGGTCCAAAGAAAAACAGCCAAGAGGCGATTATTCGTATCTCTAGGGGTAACTTCCCCATTCTTTCCAGGAATCCTTCTTTCTAGAAAACCACCAAAAACCCTGGGGAAATGGCTTGTTTTCGCAGAGAACGATGGCTTAAAAGAATGGGGAATCAACCCCTAAAGTATCCCAAACACTCCTTCCAGGAAGACTTGCAGCAACTTTGGGCCGAATATCAAGATCTTGCTTCCTGAGTGGACTGGCAAAAACAAGTCGGCTTGTGTTTTTTCAACCCCTAAAATGGTCGTTCCAAAACAAAGTTTGAAGTCCATGGACTCAGGAAGTGAGTTGAACCCACACAGACCTCTGGATACAACAAAAACGGTCGCAGGTCGATTCGCTTCATGTCGGGCATTTAGCAGTAGTCACCTTTAAGCAGGGCCTCCCGAAAGGCTTTGGACCAGTTGTCGGGTGCCCCTGGTCCTTCCCAGCCTTAACTGCCGAAACCCTGCCTGGGCGGTCCGTTGTCAGATCCCCTGCTAAGTGTTAAGATTTAGTTGATTTTAGTTGGCTAAATGGACATCCAACCACTAAACACTAAAAGGCTTAAAAGCGAAGGAACCGGATGGCTGGGAGCCACCAAGCTGGAGAAAGAACTCCTGCAGGTGTGCATATGCATAGGGCTTCGTCCAACCCAAGCAGTGCAGGATGTCGTTCATCGTCCGTTCTCCACGAGGGCACGGCCGCTTTTTGGCTAAACTTTCCAGCGGCCTGTGCACCGAAAGCTTCACGCCAGCCAGTGTTTTTCTTTGTACATCTTCACCTCACTCCAACTGCGGACGAGTCCGGGGGGCCACATTAAGCAAGAGTGGGGTTGTGTTTCATTTGTTTTGCTTTTTTGCGAAGAAATTGTGCATGCTAACTCGAAAGGTTCCTTGGATTCATATGGTCCTCTGGCTTATATGATTCGAAACTAACATTCATCACACATGACCATCGTTCGCGTGGTCGGCTAGCTTCACGACAACACACTCAGAGCACAATTGTGCCAGGACTTGGATATCCGAACTTGTGATGTAGCATGCTCATATATATGTGAATTTGAGTACTCCATATGACGCACGGTGACATGGTAACTCGGTATTTCCTAGTATTGTGGTGAGCATGGCCGGTATCACGGGATTTTCCATTTCTACCATAGAGTGCAGGAAATATTGGACGTTCCATGACGTTGCGTATCGTTTTCGAGGAACACAACAAACAACAACATGTGGATGACACACGCCTACATAAAGTAAATGGCGGTAATTTTGAATCTAACACATGTATCATGTGTGCACTGTTGGACGTGCTGTTGAAAATGGGATGTTTGTTGTAGAAAGTTGCTTGCTAATTCAAGATTTCGCGACTGTTTTGGGGTCTTCAATATAATAGCAGTTTTTGGTTTCCCCGTGTTAACTTGTTTTTTTTCCGCGTGCAACGAAAGCAAACGAGGCTATCGCTCTTTGATCTAGGGCATTCAACGTTGCATTTTGTTGCAAGTGGCCCCCACACCATCAAGGGCAATCCCACACAGTCGCAAGGGGGGACCCACGAAAGCTTCTGATCCAGTTCAAGATCACTGTTTCGGGGGCTTCCGTCATGTCAAGCTGTTTGTTTGTCCATTTTTTCTTTTGTCAACGTGTGTTTCTTTTTTGGGGGGCAGGTGGAGAATTTCCCAAATCAAAGCCTCAAGCTCTCACTTTTACTCCGAGATCCGGTTCCCCGAAAGCTGCTCGCGACTGCCACTGTTCCGGGCCAAGTCACATTCAGGAAGGTCCAGCATTACCAAATGCATCGTGTAGACATCATGTATGCATCAGGAGCATAACATGCTTCTGAAATACCTCTAAAATGCGAATGCCCCTTGTTGGATTCATGGGATTCATGAAAGGAAAGATCAACCCCACAAAGGTTGCCTTGCCACAAGACACCTTCAGCGCGAACATGCCAATGGACTTGAGAGAAACAATTGTTGATGGTACCTGAGTGGGCCGGTCTCACTGTGGACTAGATGTTGCTCAAACATATGGCCGTGGGTCAACACCAATGGAATGGGATCCCAATTTGGGGTAGGTGCACCACCCATTTTAGTCTAGTTTAGTGAGGATTGGGATGTTCACTAGGGGTACCAGGTTTTGACCCATAGTTATATAGAATAATGTCCTGCCTGCAATGCTCTGGCAAAAGACAACGGTGGGCACGCTCAATGTGTCAAAAGGAGGGCGCCCTCTGCATGAGCACTGGGACGCTGAACGCTTGCAACTGAGAATCATGTTTCTCCAAATTGTCCGATGATTGCAGGCGGTTTCCTGTTGGCTGCCCTTCAAACACTGAAAGGGGGTACATCATTTTGAGACACCCCGTATTGATACCTCGTCCCCGGCCGTTGCCGCAGGCGAATTGAAATGAGTCTCAGCAGTCACATAGGCCTTGCGTCAGCGAAGTCCAAGGGGCGCCAAAGTTGCCCTGAGGATGTGCTGGTTCTTACTATGTCTAGGTTCTCCAGTAGAGAGGGTAGAATAAGGATACCCTGTTTTCTGCAGTCTACTTTAGTAGGGGGAACCCTCCCCCAAAAAAAGGGGAAACGGGCACTTTGGGTAGCTCAAGGCTCCCTCTATAGCCCCAGCTTCGAGTCTGGCTCCCTTCCAACCAGCTTAAGTACATGGCAAGGTAAATCGGGTATTTGGGACCGACCATCAGAAATAAAAAGCTGGAATATTCCTAACATGAGATAGAGATTATGAACAGAGCTTAGACAAGGCATCTATTTCTATTTCTTTCTTATGGCTATTTCCCTTCTCTGTAAAGACGAATATGTAATGGATAGAAAAACATTTTTATTATCTACCTTTCCTTTCCAGTATTAATCAAGCCTATGTCTAAAAAACAACACAAAAGCGGCTGGTCCCTCTCACTTTCATTTTGGGTTGGCCGAACTAACAGCCTTCAAGGTCAAAGCGAAGAATGCAGAGACGAAACACATTTGGGTATGCGTAAGATTGCGTAAGCACAAGGGGTCCCCTGTAGAAGGGCATGAGACTAACCATGTGGAGGGATTCGATTCGTATGGGAGCATCCACATTTCAGTCACGAGAGAGCGGCTGCTTCGAATTCTGTTTGGGGCTGTCCCCTACTAAGCTTCACCCAGCAAGGTTTGGATTGTGGCTCATGTATCTCTCCTACTATAATGTGTGTGTGTGTGTCAAAATAAGGTTCTTTTTGGTTTCCCTTGAAGCCAGCTCCACGCCCCTCCGGCCCAGAGTTGCGATATACCCCGGTCAACCTTTCTTTATTCGGATATTATGAATCTCAACTGGCGGCCCTTTGGTGGACATGATTTTCTTGGGGATTTTCGTCCCCCATTTTGAGGAGGAGTGAAATCATCGCCATCTGGATTCAAAACGATCCGGAAACCCTCACATGCTTCGCGCCCGAAACCTGCGCTGGAAACCTTCAGGCCTGTCATTCAGTTGGCAAACACCTTTGAAGCAGGCCTATGGGTCAGGTCTTGGTTGACGTTGGGAGGGGAGCAAAAATTCTCAAATTTTGGCAGTTAAGTGGATTTGGATTTCCACCACTAAACCACAATAAGTAAAATTGATTCAAATGTTTCCCAACAACCATTAGGTGGAGACACCTCCAGCTCAACCCACATTTGGCCCCGAATGGCTCTGGGCGTGTTTTTGTGAAGGCTGAGCTTTGCGTAATAATCAGTTCTTTCGTTGTCGTGTATGGCGTCGTTGGCACTGATCGAAGTTTAGCATCAACCGGAACACCAGCGGCCAGCCATGGATCCGTTCTCACTAAGTGCCGGCGAGTTTGCAAAGTGATGCGCCCAAAGGCGCCAACAGAGCCATATGAGCTCTTGACAGCTTGCTTTGGGGTGGCGGGGGTGGTTTGCTCATGAAGCTGCCTGCTTGCTTGGCTTCAATACGTTTGCGAAGGTTTGGCAGGACACAGGCTTCGGGCTGTCACAGCTGTCGAGCCTTAGGCTTCGAACACGGCGATCCTGGCCCAGCCACTGGCAGGAGGCTCCGGCTTCGGACTGTCAAAGCTGTCCTGGCCGTCTACGGGCGGGAGCTTGAGGCTTCCGACGACAGCTCACTGTCACATCTGTCGGCTCTGTCGCAGCTGTCTGGCACAGGCTCTGTCGGCGGGCGGGCTGGTTGTGGCGCTCGGATGTCACTTAAAATCTCATAACCCCAAACCTGTCGGATAAGACATGGAGATGAAACGGGGCTACCCTTACTGGATGTGGTTGATTACGGATATGGAGATCTGGATATGCTCGCTTTTACTCGGCCATGCGTCAAAATAGGGGGGCCACGTTGTTTTGCTTTTTACTTATACCATGGACGGGGTACCCGCCCTCAAAATCACCGATATGCATCCCGCTCCAAGGATACTTGGCTGGAATTAGGACCCCAGCAATTAAAATATCTATATATCTATTATTTTTGCCTGTTAGTGGAAAACAAAGGAAACCCGGGAACCCCAAAAAAGCAAAAAAACAACAAGAAATGGGAACCTAATTCTGGGGAAGGCCACGGCACTCGCCACCCGCTTTTGAGCACCAGGCCGGCCCTCGCTGTCCTGGGATGGAAACATCCGAGTTCTGGCCGTGACATCCATGAGCCATTTCTGGTTTAGGCCCCCAACCCCCAACCAAAACACAAAAAAAACCTACCGGAGGAAGAGTCGGGTTGTTTTTGCCTTCTGTGTGGGAACAAGGTCAAGTCACTTGCCATCTCGATGGCGTTCCTGAAATTCACTCTCGGGCATCCCAACACTGGACAAATACCCAAGGCTCAGCTTTGCCAATTCTTCCCCAGAATTAGTTCCCCTTTTTATAGTTTTTGCTTTTTTGGGTTCACTTTGTTTTCCACTAACCAGGCAAACATATATATATATATATATATTTTGCTGGGGTCCTAATTCCAGCCAAGAATTAAAGCTTTCCCATGTTCATGTTGGAACTTGGTGGCTCGTGTTCAAGAAAATCCTTTCAGGTACACACTCAAAGCTATGAGCCTCCCCAGTAGTTCACTTCCTTCGGTTTCCCTGCCAAACAACTTGGATGTTCGTCAGTAAGTGACTTTGACGGCCTTAAAAACCGGAACCTCCCGCCAAGCTTCCGTGGGAGCCTACCTTCCGAGAGCCATGGCGCAACGTGCTTCAGGCTGACAAAGCGCAAGTTGAGTTGTGAAAGGTTGCTACGGGCGAAGTCTGACTGAGCCTAAAACACTGAAAAATGCAAGTTTGTTCCTTGCCTTCTTGGTATTCGCAAGAAACAATCGGGTCAGGCAGTTTTGGTCTTGCCTGGCGTGTGAAAGAAAAACAGAACCATGTACCCACGGCCAATCCGCGGTCTTGCGCGGCTCAACGTGCAACACGATTTTCGTGTTCATCTGGGATTCCGCATACACAGCCTGATATGTGGAAAGAGGCATTGCTTGGGACTGGACACCTGACGGCGAGGAGAGACCATTCGCCCCGATTTCTATGCTAGTGGGCCTGGATCAAATAGCCCCGGTGCAAGCTAGGATCAAGCAAGCAACCAAATTTCTGGGGAAAGCATCGCCTAGACCAGTTGCCCAATCCCGAATTCATGTGACATGCTGAACATGATAAGATGGGCTGCATGTTGCGCTGCATCTTGTTGTAGGCAACATTGCCTTCCATGCCCAGTGCTTCCAGTTGCGAATAATTCGGTAGGAAAGCAGGGCACCATCATGTAAAGGCCGGAGGTCAAAAGACCTGGTTGCCGGTTGCAATACAGTATTGACTAGATCACGCTTCCACCCATTGCTGGTTTTGGTCGGCGATTTGGAGGTTAGGGGCTGCCATCCCCATTTTGTGCCAAAAGGAGTTGGAGTTCACGTTTCCAAACCGTCACCAAACCACACCAATAAAGGGCTACCTGAGCTAGGCTGTCCTCAGATCTGCTAAAAGTGACTAACTTTTGATGGGTTAAATGGAACCCAACAACTAAACCAACTATTCAGCTAAAAAGCCAAGGGGATGGCTGGGAGCGTCCGAGGTAGAAGTTTGACCCAAACTTTTAGATCTGAAAAGAAACCAACCAACACCAAAAACAAAACTTTCCAAAACCCAACCTCCAAGGAACTGGACTGGACTCGACCCGCCTTTTCCCGTGCACCCCTTGTGCCTTGTGGATCACCGTGATGCGCCGTGGGCCCAAAAGCCGGGACACCTTTGTCATGGGCACGGATGGGGATCTGATGTTGACCCCATGGGCTGTCCGCTTTCAGATCTGCGAAAGGTGTAAAAGGCTAAAAGAGAAGGGGATGGCTGGGAGCCGCCAAGATATGAATCAACCAAGCAGTTTATTAGTAGGGGGGTGGTTTTTGACCCTCCAAAGGTGGTCTGATTCCAACCACTCAGAAATGGACACCCCCCTATTCAGAAGCTGATTGGTTGATTAGTACGGGGTCCACATTATTCCCACGTGTTGAGCCACGTGTCTAAACATTGGAGGCTGACAAGTCTACAGAACATTCTTCGAGACCCCAATCATGGTACCGTGGGGTGAAAGCATTCATGATAATGACCAACAATAATGAAAACCAGCCGACAATAAGGAATCCATATGAAAGACACCTGCATCACGTTGTGAGGTCTCAAAATCTTGTGAGGCCTCCACATGCCCAAGTACAAGCGGGCTGTTTAGTACACATGTGCCTTGGGGCAAGCAAGCAAGCAATGCTGGACTTGAGGCAGTGTGGCACCTTTCAAAGCGGACAGAGTTCCGGTTTGTAACATGTTTTGACCTGGGCAACAGAGAAGCGCCACAACAGTGAAGGCACAAGGTGCCAGGGGACTGTTTCGGGATTGCTTGCGTACTCGCAAATTGACACGCAGCCCCAAAAAGGGATCCCCTTCGACTTGCTATGAGGACAACTTCTGATAAACCCCTTCACTAGAACGGGCGCTAGGAATACCTACTCAAAGACATGCAAAGTGCGGCATTTGCTTGAAACAACAGGATCCAGGATAGCCAAACCATGCAAAGCCCGTCCCTAAACAACTGGCAAGCAAGCAAGCCATGCCTATCCTGAGCACTATAGCAGCTAGGCGTGCATCAGCGGACTTGGACCCCTGCAAAAAGTGTACATGTTTTCCCGCATCGCTATGGCCAGCAGTCTGAGACGAGCATCCAATTTGAGTGTTTCCTGGTTTGCACGAGCATCCAAGTTAAGTGTTTGCTGGTTTGCGGCAACAGTTGAAATTTCCCAGAAGGACAGTAAACGGCTGAAGATCAAAGCAAAAAGCAGCCAAACCACATTGAATCATTGCGTCAACTGAATGGTCTTCAATGAACCCCGATATTTGGCTTGAATAACCTCTCTCGCTGGTTCTTCAAATTGCATTCACCCAACCAGACACGCCTGGTTTCCGGATGGTTGCCTTCGGTCATTCCCACGTTTCAAAAAAAACTCGCTGACGAGAACCAATCCAATCCATTGGCTCTTTTGCTCGGTGGTACACTAGCCAATCCATTGCCCCTGTCTGCCTTATCCGACGGTTCTCCGACGGTTCTCCAACGGTTATCCGACGATCGTTTAAACACCGAGGACCTACCAAAGCCCCGTATCCGACAAACAAGCCGGCCCCTCCCTAAAAGGCCCCGAATCCTCCTTAAAAGGCCCACAAGTGTCTAGGAACAAATATTAAAACAAAAAAACAAAAAACAGTAACAACGACAACAAATAAAACCAACAAAAACACAAACAAATAGAAACAAGCAAAAACAAACCCACAAAATCGGCAGCAAAAAACAAACAAAAAAACAGAGAGAGAGAGAGAAACAAAAAGTTCATTGCACACACACACACACACATCGTCAGTGCCGGCCATAAACCGATTTGGAGCTGTACACGCAGCATCCCGCGGCTGACTGAGTCAAAATCAAGCCCCTTCATCATCTCTATATCCGGCTTGGTCTTGGCTTTTACAAACACCATTGAAACACCATGGCTTAACCACCTGCCTTCTTGGGGGGCCAGTTTGTCACACTTCCAAAAGAAGGTCTAGACGGATGCGGGGAGCGTGCATTTTTCCAGAAGGTAGTAGTCCCCTGCCATCAACTGAGTTGCCGACCAGGTTAATGGCAATGATGACCTGGGCTTGTGGCGCTTGCAAGATTGAAGGAACAACATGTCCCTCCATTTCCTTAAGGCCCCTGGAAAATTAATAATGTTTCCAGTAGCGGTAGATTGCCTTTAAATCCAACAGGAGACAGTAAAACATATTCTAAACCAACTGGAAGTGTCGTTAGGGCTACTCCTCCTGAGGAATCGGCCCACAACTAGAGAAACATGCCGAATATGAAATGTTCCTACGTTGTGAGCTGCACATCATGCTCTAAGATATTGTGACCGTTTCAAAGGTTGAGGGTCTTCAGTGGGTCAGAAGGGGTTTGCATTGGAGCGGGGTACTCGACCCCTTGTGGGAACCCACCATGAATAGCGCTGGCATGTTCCCATGATTTGTGGAATTTGCGATCAGTCGGCCACGAATCACATCGAAGCTTGCCAAGGAACTGGCACCAACGTGGCCCTTAATACATCATGCACATTGTGACCATAGAAGCAACATGCGGGTTTGTCTCTCAACTGGGGGACCCTCAAAATGGATGGCTTTATTTGGTTTTCCCTTTTACCCCGCTGTATCCTCCAAAAGACGGACACGTGGATGGGAAAGCGCCTTTACTGGGAATACGCTCTGCTTTTCCATACATTGGAGAGTTCGCGAATCAGAGGTCAACCTCAAGGGGCTTAGGGGTGGCAAGCTAAGCCTGGAAATCGCCATGAACAACACGTGAAAAACCAAACTACCCCCTACTGCAAATGTGCATTGATTTGCAGGTATCATGTTACCCCCCTGACTACAAATGATGGTAGTCCAATAACTCGAATTACCATAAACAGAGTGGGTATTTTGAGTACGCGCTACACCTAGTCAACTGCATCCAGGTCTTAGGGCCCCGGCTCCGAACATGCTGCCCATGCCCAGCAAGATCTGGTACCTTTCAACCGCAAAAAGGCTCCGGCACGCGCCAAAGTTGACGCCCGGCCGACTTTGGCTTTTGTGGGGGCCACTGAGGAAACAACGCAAGGGCCCAAATCCCAAGCTGTCACATGGCGTGTCACAGGGCAGTGAAGGCCAAATGGGTCCATTTGGCGTTCCGAGTCAACACCACCAAACTGCCTTGCCCCTAGCCACGCATTCGAGCACACACCGCAGCTTTTTCGACACGCCCTCAGGAAAACTACTCCTCTTGCAGAGCGCGGGACAGCAAATGTAATCAGCATGTGCGGTTGCTTTACTGTCCTCAGTTGCAGCGAGTTGCCAAAAGGGCAAACAAAAGTCCAGCAGTTGTTTTTCTCTTTTTTTCCATGGTCATCTTCAAGAGGAAACCTACTGACCAAATACAACACTTCTGCCACTGGACCAGGTGACTGTGTTTCTTTTTCTTGGCCAGCGACTTCTCCTTCTCCGCAGCACGTTGCTCTTGCACAGAAAGCCGCATCGGCGCGCTCAAGCTCGATACGCTCATTTGCTTGATGCGCTGGTTTTTGCGTTGAATCACATACCTCTTAGCGACGGCCTCCCGGAATAAATGAACACCTTCGGAGTAGCGACCCGGACTAGGAGCCCGGCTCTTGGAATTGGAATTGGGCCAGAGCTTGATAGCAGCAATCTTGGGATTGCGTGGGTGGACCATGACCTCCCAGGAGATGGCATATTCCTTAGACAACAAGAACCCTTGCGATCATATCGGTTGCAGCTCCGTTTGGAATGGCCCAAACGGAATTTTACCATTGCATGAAACCCAGCGTCTCTGAAGTTTTCTCCCGGAACAACATAAAACGCTGGTCGAGTGTACATCTGCGTCGCCGGCAAAATGCATAACAAGAAGAACAACGACAACAACTCACAACACCAATCTGTAGCCAATACATGTACCCCTCGTCACCCAAAAATACATCATTCCGAAAGTCCCGAGCACACGGCGCACGCAACCAAACAAACATATCACAGGACACATGTTCAGCGCACCAACTCTGCGCTTGCACAAGGTGTTCGAACTGCTCACCTTTCTGGGCCACACCAAAACCACCTACACAATCAAAACCGGGCCTCCATTTGCTTAAGTCCCCTGAAAAACAAGAGACAGAATATTTCCAGTAGTGATGGATTCCCTGTAAAACCAACAGGGGAACATACAAAGATTCTTAACCAAATGGAAGCCGGTATTACAATAGTCCACTCAGGACCATGTAAAGAACTTAAAAGGCGGCTGCAAACATTTGTGGTCGGGACTATCCCTTACTAACCTTCATCTACCGTGTTTGATCGTGGCTCACCTGGGAACAGGTAATTACTCCACTGGAGAAAAATGTCTGAAAACCCCACCAAGTAGCATGACAACACAATCCGCTAGAAATGTGTTCAATTCCGGGTGCTGAATGTCAGCTGGGAAAGAAGAACAGCTTGCTCCTGCCATGATTCTCTGCCAAGCTGGTCCATGATCTCCTGTGGCACGCTCTCTTGCAAGTGCCACTTGGCTTGCTGTGCGGTTTGCCGAGCAGACTGGGCCTTCCCCGCCTTCCCCTTGCTTTCATTCTGATACAAACATATAGGTTTCAATGGTAGTGTCGCTCCTTTCTTGTTGGTGTCTCTTTTCCGAAAGTCGGGAACTTTGTCGGCTTGTTGGCTGACGAAATCACTGCGCACGCGTACAAACTGCCCACCGCTGGTTGTGGAGAAGGAACGCTGCCACTTGCTGAGCCCCCCCTGTTCCTTCAGGAGGAGAGGATGGTCAAACGGAATGAGAGTGATGCTGATGAGGTTCAGCTTTCCAAGCTTCTCCAAAACCCGTGCAACAAACAAGCGGCGGTTGTTGATAGAATAGATCTTGTCGTTCCACGTGGTGCAAACAAGGACGGGGAAATCATCAAACGCCATCTCCTGGAGGACAATGCTACGAATCACGTCATCGATCCGTGTGCCATTCCGGAACGAGCTGGAAATATTGGCGTGGGTAAAGCGAACCTCTGATGGTGACAAATGAACATCCGTCTCATGAGGCAGCTCCGCCTCTTCTGCAGCATCCATTTCTTCTTGCTCAGAATCGTGGCTCGCCTCTTCTTCGGTTTCGCTCTCCTCAAGCGCCTCTAACTGCCAGTCTTCAGGCTCCTCCGCATCTGCTGGGCCAATCCCCCCTCGCCCGCTCGGGGTTTGAGGTTGCGTCGGGGGTTGAGGGGAGGGGGCGGTTGCGGTGGTCATGCTTGTGGCCACGTGAAGAGGTTGCTTTGGTCGGCGCCTCACTCGGACTGATTGACTCTTCCAAGTGACTGGACGCAGACGCATGGCACACATGACACCTCACAGCCTTCTGCCGCCCGGTACTTTTGTTGCAAAAGACCTCGTATTCTACAAGCTCGCCTGGTTCCAGGCTCTGCGTGCCAACGAGGTCGCTGCAGTGGATGAACAGATCATCGCCTTCTCCGTGCCGTATGAAGCCATAGCCTTTCTCAAGGTTCCACCACTTGACGGTCCCCTGGCACTTCATTAGCTAAGCAGCCAATCGCATGCTAGGGATCGAGCCAGTTGGACAGCCGTGAAAGTATTGGTTCAGCAAATGCTGGCAGAAGAGTGCTTTCACTGGGACTCTTCGGCCAAGGGAGCCTGACAAGGATGCAAGACACTGTTGAATAAAATGATGCTGGGACCATGTCAAACACTGATAACGTTGTTCTCAGCACCGGCGTCAAGATGGACACGTTGCTTAGTCAGTCTATGTTGCGTGGTAAGACGGAAAGTAGCATCTTCACGTCTCTTGACTGGGTCAGGTCATAGTCCAATTCCGCTGTCAGCATGATGTGTGCCGCTAGCTGCTGGGCTGTTCAAAAGCAATCTTAACTCCTCCCTTGAGTTAGGATTGGACCAACCCAGCTCTGGGTCAAAAACATGTACTAACATGGCACCTTGGCAAATGAAACCAAAGAATAGAACCTGCGCAACCCCACCTGCGCAACCCCAGCCGTTTAATTTTGAGCCACATCCACCCCTTTTTGTATGCTTGGAAAGCTTAAGACTACAAATCTGGGGCTTTCTCGTACCCTTGGTTGCTGTTGATCCCTCCGCAAAAAGTTTAACTTGTTGTGGGTTTAGTGGAAAACCCCTCGATTTCCCAAAAAATTAAAGTCTAAAGATCCAACCCAAAAGCAGTAAAGTAGCTGCCCCCTTCGAGCGATTCGGCGATTCGATCCGTGAAGGCACATCAGGCCACCTCCGGCGCCGGAACCGCCCGCCTCGCCAGAGCGAGGCCCTTTTGCTGGACTTCCCAAAGGACTGAGAAGCGAAGCGGGGTTCCCCAAATATATATATATATAATAGTTTTTTATTATTATAATAAATATAATAATAATAAATCATAAATATAATAATAATAAATAATAAATAAATATAACAAAACTAAATAATAAATACATATAATAAAATATTAATAATAATAATAATAATACATAACACATAATACATAATACATAATACATAATACATAATACTAATAATTGACAGTTATAAACAAATGATTATACAATTATAATTAATCGATTTGTTTATATAACTTGTTACCCAATTGATTTGTTTGATAATAAACTAACTGCACCATGTCCACCATCAGTATTGTTCCCAAACATCACCCAGTTTAGATCCATTCTTGACCCAGGTGAGGTTTCAAACGACCGGAGGACTTTTTTTGTGAACCCTGAAAAAGGTCAAGCTTTCTAAACAGTGGATGAGGGGGAAACAAGTTGGTTGGCTGTTGAGTAAAACATCCGTCAATCTGGGTGAATTATAACATGTCACCAGGGGGGATATTCCCCGCATAAACCACCGTTTGGGGTGAATTCGGTCGTGTAAGGTCGATATAATTCACCCAGATCAATGGCAGATCTGCCAAAATATTATTGTTTCGCAGTTCGGTGCTTGCTCCGAAGGGCACCACGCCAGGGCTCCCGGTCGATCAAGTGCGGTCGGTGAGTCGGAGAGGCCAGTTTCTGTGGTAACCTCCATTTACTTAAGCCCCCTGGAAAAAACATATATATATATATATGTATGCTCCCCCCCCCCAGATCCACCTTTGGGCTGTTTTAAGTATATGTTGGTGTCCAAAATCCTTTTTGGGTGTGAATATACATATATATATATATTTCCTTTGAGAGCAGGACGCTGTGAGCGTGCGCTTTTTTTTTCTTTCACTTTTTGAGTGAAAACTCGAGTTGAACTATGTTTGCATAAGGTGTGTTTAAATGTCAGCTGAATTGTAAAGAAATTTGATTGGAAAGAACATACTGTGTAAACTATCAATTAAACTAGAAATATTTTAATTCAAATCCTATTATGAAACAGAAGTTGCGATTGGATTCGTTCCTTATCAAATTATGTTTAACCTCTATTTTAAAAGTGTAATGTTCTATTAGGCAAGGATTTACATCTAAATGCTAAATGTAAGATGTAACTTCCAGTAGGATTATGATCAAGTATTTCCTTATTGAGTCCTATTGAAATCCTATTCAACTCCAAACTGAATTTTAGAGAGCGGGCGTTGGTGGAGATGTGAATTGAGTACGAAAAACGCTACAAAACACTGTTTTACGGTGTTTTCTGACCATGGTAATTCTGGGGCTAGTACACACAAAAAAACACGATTTCTGACCTCTGAATTCTCTCCTTCTGAAATCTACTTAGTATATGTACCAAATTCTACCCAATGTCTGACTGAAATTAACTAGAAATTATTAAGGAAAGAGTCCAATCAAATTGTATATGTTGAATTAGTTTTTTTAATTATGATTCATCTAGTTCAACGTAAATGTTACACGGGAATTCCTTTTCCAATAGAATTGTCCTTACACGTTGCATAGCAAAAAGCCTGAGACCTACAAATGATTGACTTTTAGGTTGTTTAAGGGCAGTACATCACTTTTGGCTGTCCAAAGCAAACAAATAGGGACAGTACAGCACTTTGAGCACCCTGATCTCCAAAGTGCTGTACTGTCCCTATTTGTTTTTATTTGGAAACACACAAAATAGGGACAGTACAGCACTTTGAGCACCACGACCTTCCCAAACTGAAACAATGCAATAAAAAGGATGTTTTTTTTTTTTTTTAGCATGTTCAACACACTTCAATCACAAATCATGTGCAAACTTCTGCTTGCCCATCCTTCTTCGGGCTCAAACTTGCTGCAAATAATATATGAAAATGCCTACTCAAACCAACACATCTGCCAGCATCACATCTTGTCCAGGATCAACCCATCTGACAAAAACAATGTCAAATCTAAACGAAAACCATTTTGCTGTTCATTTGCTTCAAACAGTTGAACACTGCTCAACACACTGTAAATTACAGTGTCTTGGCAGTGTTTTAGCTGTGTCCAAAGCTGGGGGTGCATCTTGGGAGGGGCGACCATATATATATATATATGTATTTCCGGTAGTGATAGATTCCCTTTAACACCAACCGGGGAAAATAAAAGAAATATTCTTAACCAATTGGAAGGTAAGGAACGGCTCCAAGTGGCGGACCAGGAGGGAGCGGGGGGTCTGGGGGGCATTCCAACTTGGCGCCTCCAATAAACTTAGGTGCAACGGTGGAATCCTCCCGTATCCAACTGGTCCCCCCTGTATCCCTGCTATTTGGTTTCCCTGAGGATGTGCTCCCAGCACGGTGTTTCACAGCCCGCAGCTGTCGATCCACTCACTGCTGATGTTTCGGTCTGGTGCCCAGGGCCGAAAGGCTTGAGGTTGGGACATCTTCTGGTTGATTCACTTATTCGAAAACCACATCTTCACTGGGCTGTCCTCAGATGCCCCGCTAAAAGTTTATCTTTTAGTTGGGTAAATGGACATCCAACCACTAAACACTAAAAGGCAAAGAAGCTAAGGAACCGGATGGCTGGGGGCCACCAAGATCAGATTCCAGCATGCCTGGAGCCAGTTTGATTATCGTTGGCTTGGCTTTCAAGATCTCTTTTCAAGCTCTGTAAAGTCCAGAAAACCAACAACAAAATCCAAGTCGCAACCAATGAGCGTGGTAGACAAAGGAAGCCCTTGTTGGGGTTTGGGCTTGATCGTGTTCAGTGGAAAACCACCAAACAACAAGTACTTAGTGACTTAAGGCTGCCACCACTGAACAACTCAGAACATATTATGTCCCTGTCTTGCCATGACCCAAACAAGGCAAAAGGGCAGTGCACCTATTGTCACTCGGGATTGATTACTGGGACCCGAATTGGGGGCGTGATACCTACAGTAGTGACCCCAAAAGGCAAAAGGGGGCAGAAAGAAAGTCTGGCAACGTAGCTGGGTGCCATGTTAAGGGCACTTCAAAGCAAACAAGGCATCTCATCTCATGCCTGCGGTTCTGGGAATCACGGAACATGTTTGGAATGACCTCAGATTAGCTAAGCTGATCTGGCGAAGAGCGTTTCCTCAAGTGACTTTTGATCCAGTGGGATCTATTGATTCGCTTCTCACCTCGACAACTTCCTGTTCCAAATGGGTTGCCAAGCCTGCATAATTCCCATTTAAGAACTGTACAGAAAAGGACCAAATCAATTCGCAGTCTGAGGGAAGGATTGCCGGAATTTCAATAATCATGGAAGTTGACAGTTGACAGGAGCTGTAAGACTAGAGCCGCTTTTACCTCCTGTCCTTTGATTGAAAGAGGACAATTAAGCCAGGTAAGCAGGATTCGCTACGACTTCCTGCATCTGCCTGCTGATCACTCGAGGGCCCCGGAGTGGTCGCTGGTGGGGGAGGTTGGCGTGCCGGCGGCGGCGCATGCTGGCGGGAGGGAAAGCGAGCGGCAGCGCATGTGGAAGAAAGCCATGATATTGCGGGGCAAAACCCTTTGTGTAATACAGTGTAGTGGGCTGCTCGTCCCAAATGAGTAGTTCATCATCTTCAAGGGATTCCTCTTGGTATTGCAGAACACGCCGAAAAGACCGAAGGCCGAAGCCGCTCGACTAGTTTAGTCCTAACCTTCAAAGACAATCATTATGTTAACAAAGGACAAAAACGATTTAACTGGGTAAAAAACAACACTCAGTTGTCTCACGTTGCTCCTCGCGGGCATGCCCAGTGGCCATGGGAAAAAAAGGCATCCTTCTTGGTTGCTTGACTTTAAAGGGAACCCTTACCCCAAAAAAAAGGAAAAAGGGCACCACTGAGCAACAGAGAACAAGTTTACAATGTTGACATGGCTGCAAGTTGACATGTGCATGCAGGCTCTAAAGCTGCCAAATGTCGGCACGAAAGGCATGAGAACTCTGTAACCCAACAAAGCGGCCCGTGAAAGGAACCCTCGTTGGTGAGGTAGATCCACAGAAGAAGAGGGAAATCGAGATGAGCTGCCGGTCAATCAGTTGGACGCAAGCAAGAGGCAAAGTTAGCGCAGGTTGAAGACTTCCCAGGTAATGGGTGGGCCACAAGTGGGGTGGTATGTGCTAACTGATCCTCCATTTGCTTAAGTCCCCTGGAAAAAGAAACAGTAGTGATAGACTCCCTTAACACCAACAGGGG